CACACTCACTAATGCATACAGTTTGCATCTGAGAGCATTCTGAAAGACTGCTGGTGTGACATCATGTCAATTTTTTAATTTTTAAAAACATCTTTAAATTTCAAAGATGCTGAAACTGTTGTTCATGCGTTTATTACGTTGTGTCTGGATTACTGTAACTCCTTGTTTTATGGCCTACCCAACAAAGTCCTTAAATTTTTTTTTTAATTTACCAAAAAATCTGCCCACATCGTATGTCAGCTATCGTATTCAGTTTAACATTCTTGTTTTAGTTTTCAAGGCCCGTCATGGTTTAGCACCTTCTTACCTTTCTGAATGAATTCTCCCCTATGTCCCTGCCCATACGTTGAGATCGAGCTCTGAAAATATGCTTGCATTACCCAAATTCTGGCTATCTGCATTTCCGCTGTCAAGCTCTGGAATAAACAACCACAATATCTCGGTGTTATCTCTTCACTCCAGACCTTTAAAACTGCTCTCAAAACTCACCTATTTACAATGTTTCTAAATTAATTGCTTGCCTTAATTTTCTGTTCTATGCTTTTGTAACTTATCTTGTATATTGCATATTATTTCACCTCTGTCTATTGTTTGGCTGTTTATATGTTGTATACTATCTGTTATTTACCTTATGTAAAGTGTCCTTGGGTGTTTGAAAGGCGCTATATAAATGAAACATTATTATATTATTATTATTTATTAATTTATTATAACCAACAAGACTTTAACAGCCAATGACATTTACAGCTGGGGAGACTGGACTGATTTTCTACTGTTGAACTCAGCCAGTTAAGAGCTACATTTATCCTTAGATGTTAAATGAATATGTTCCAGGTTTTATCAGCTGGCAATTTTCAATGCACATTTAAGAGTGCCTGTTTTTAAATTCCCTAGCCTGACTTTCAGTCCACAAGGTTGTTCAGGAGTTCTCATCTCTCTCATCATCTGAAACAAGGAGAGATAAACATTGTATTCGGTTTACTGCTGTACACAGACACACACAGTATCTAAAGAGAAATATTAAGGGAATAATTCAAGAGTTTTATGCCGTTATCAGCATATGTTGAAGTAGATTCGTCTTTTGTCGTCTCTTAGAGAATGTACGCCGTCAATTTTTATTTTCACTTTGTATAATTGACCGAGGTTAAGACGTTCACCAGCATAACTCTTGCGCAAAGTTTGCACACTGCTTAATATCAGCATTCATGGTTTAAAACAGAAATATTTCCAACACTGCGACGTAACAGTGACAAATCGTCCCACGATTCTGCGCTACGCCACTGTGAGGAGGACCAAAGGAACGCTATCACTCACGGATTGATCGCGAATGGACCGTGTGAAAGTTGTCACAAAACGCTGTTGTTACGTATCCTCGCGCTTTTTTAAGTGGGTATATGAAAATCCTTGACCTTTCCTAGTAGGTATACGGCGTATACCTGCGTATCACGTAGACTACACCACTGATATCAGGTAACCCCGGATGTGTTGCTCTGCGGCCAGATCAAACCTCCTTGTAGCCTATATTATGCTCTATTCAATATTTTTTAGAAACCTTGCACTTTTCTACTCCGTTTTAAACGGTGTTCTTTCAAATTAAGTGCGGTCCACTGCAGGTGCCCAGGGCCAGCTGTATCGATACTTGTATCGTCAGATCTCTCTGACGATACATCGTCGTATTGATGTATCGAACCCAGCACTAGTTATTACTCCAGTCTTCAGTGTCACATGAACCTTCAGAAATCATTCTAATATGCTGATTTGCTGCTTAAGAAACATTTTCTTATTATCAATGTTGAAAATAGTTGTGCTGCTTTACATTTTTGTGGAAATAGTTATACTTTTTCAGGATTATATGATGAACAGAAAGTTTAAGACTTTTTATATCAATATATATCAATATATATATATATATATTAGCTTTTCTGTATTTGATCAACTTAAAGCACACTTGATATATAAAAGTATTAATTTCTCTAAAAAAATCTTATTGAACAAACTTTTGAACAGTAGTTTAAATATGAAAACAAAAAAATTACACTGCCCATATATCATGCATCCCTAGAAAAAACACACAGGAATCACACTGCAAAGCCCACTAGCATGAAGTGACACTCTATAAGTACAGAAATAATAAAACTCACCCCTCCCGGCCCCAGAGAGCCTGGCCTCCTATGTGTTTTAGTTTGTCCATGGGAAGCTGGCTGACCTTTGAACCCCCAGCGCTTCATCACTCCCTGAAAACCTTTGCCAATTCTACAATAAAAAAAAAAAGTTTAGTACAGTAAAGATGTAAACACAACATTTAGTCATCATACACTGTGTAACAACATAAGAGATATGTGGATGAAGCTGCAGACAGGCAGGATCTCAGGCATGAAATAGGGCTGACACGACTCAGACGCTATGATTAATCAAGAGTTCTTTGATGCAAGGCCCTCTTCATTAAAGGGGTGGTTGATTGCGATTTCACTTTTTTAACGTTAGTTAGTGTGTAATGTTGCTGTTTGAGCATAAACAATATATGCAAAGTTATGAAGCTGAAAGTTTAATGCAAACGGAGATATCGTCTTTTAAAATTCTGGCAGTTTAATGCCTACAAAAAAGGGCTGGTAGGGACTACAAGAAGTTACTTCCCGAGTTGGTGACATCACAAACCCAGATAAACCCCACCCTCGGGAAAAGGCAGCAAAGGGGACGAGGCTGCGCTGCTTTAGAGAAGAGGAAGAGAAAACTAGGTGCACGTAAAAATCTATTCATATATGAATCGCGATTCTTGTCTTCTAACGATTCTAATGGATTCACAAGTTTCAAAATCAATGTTCTAAAGCAGCGGTTCTTAATTAACCTTTCCTTGCGTCCCCCTGCTCTGCATCTCTCTCTCTCTCATTCAGCTCAGCTCCAACAATGAACTGTTACAATTATACACTTATTTTCACATAGCTATGAGAAGCTTTAAACATGGATGCGCGTGCAGTTGCCGTACTGTATTAAAGCTTTAATCAGGATAAAACTGTATATTAAAAGCTAACATAAGCAGTAGCATTTACAAATAACAGCATATCTAAAAGTATGAGTCAACAACAAACAAAAAACATAGGCCTACCATTAAAAGCCGTGCTTGCACAGGTTCTGCACAATCCTCTTCAATAATATCCTCTGCGTCTCAATCGGGATCAAACTGATAAGCGATATTAATGACGTCGGTGTTTACAATACAACCGAGCACATGCTGCTGAGGTGAGGGGCGGGACGTTTAGACACACTAGAGGTGGTTTAGCCAATCACAACACACTGGGCTAGCTAACCAATCAGAGCCCATCGCCTATTTCTGAGGGCGGGGCTTCATAAAAGCAGGAAATGATCAAGGGACAGAACGTTGTGGAATAAAGGTAAATTATGTGTGTGTGTTTTTTAAACGAAGCATTAACACGTGTTAGACTGCACCCCATAAACACAATCAAGCCTAGAAAAACAGTGAACCACCCCTTTAAAGGTGATGGGTGTAATTTCATTCAATGTTAAAATACTTATCCCAGTATATTATGCAGAGACAAACAGAAGCAAGCCATTTAAAAATTCACAATACTGTGGCGCCATCAAATCATTGCTCTGTTTATTTGCGCAACCCGACCAGATTGACATTGGATCAACCAATGGTTTGAGTTTGGGGAGGAACTATCCATTTGTTTGACCAACTGTAGATTTTCAGGAAACTTGTTTGAAAACGATCATTATTTTTGCAATTCCATTTGGTGACACTGGTGGCACTTTTACTGAAAATGCACAATTGCACACACTTTAAAGCAGTGGTTTTCAATCCTGGTCCTGGGGACCCACTGCTATGCACATTTTTGGTGCTTTTCCACTGCATGGCATGGCACGACTGGCTTTTGGGGGGTTTTCCACTGTGTACAGTACCACCTTGGCTGAGGTTCCAAGCGAACCGTACCGTTACCAAAATGCAGTGGTGGACGAAGTACACAAATCAAGTACTTGAGTAAAAGTACAGATCTGTATAATAAAATATTACTCCAGTAAAAGTAAAAATACTCAGTTTTCAATTTTACTCGAGTGAAAGTACAAAAGTACTTGATTTTTATGTACTTGTAAAGAGTAAGTAAAAAGTACTGATAGATGAATTGTCTACTCGGCTAGTTGATCCAGATACATAGTAACTTAGGCTATGTGTGCTGACAAACAATATAAAAACAGACGTCACATAGGGCTAAATGCATAGCATTTTAGTAAAACTGCTAACGTCACAGCAGCGGGGAAAATGAACGTGCATGAGTTATGTTATTTAATCTGTGTTATTTTAATGTTTTTTACCTAAAACATAGAGACTCTGATGTTAATGTGTCTGCATTCAATCATTTCAGTGGGCTTAAACAGATCACCCTTTACAGCAGATTTAGTTCACAAACAACTGACAGCTTTGACCTAAATATGATTTTCAGTTACAATAATTAGTACTAAAATTCGACATTAGTAACTTACTTTTAACAGCATCAGACGCGCGCACGCTCACAAGATCTCCCAGTTCTTACTTGTGAATTCAGTTCACTGGAGACTCACACTAAACGGAGTTGTCAGTGAGTTGTCGACTCGAGAACAGCTGCAATCGGATCATTCCAATTCGTGAATGACTCGTTTGGTGCGATTTGCGAACCGATATAACGGGTTCATTGAAAAGAATCAGTTCGTTCTTGAATCAGACACAGCTTCTGCGTCTCGGAGCACGTGATATATTATGAGTAACGAAATGCTTTATGAAATGTAGTGAAGTAAAATGTATGATCTTATGCTTTGGAATGTAGTGAAGTGAAAATAAAAGTTACTCAAAATAAAACTACTCCAGTACAGTAACGAAGTAAAACTACAATTTCTCAAATATTAATAAAAATATATATTCTTGCATCAAGCTGGTTTTTGCTGTAATTCTTGTAAAATATTTATTGAGAGAATTTCTCAATTTTTAAATTAATATAAAGTGTTTAAACAGGGGTCTACGCGTACTTTTCTTTTAAAATAAAAAAAAATTTAGGAGCACATTCAAAAATTTCAGGAGCACCTTCTAATCAATAATCAAAAATTCTGATCAAATATTAGCCTTCCCATTACGAGGTGATATTTGACTCATTAAAGTGATTTACAGGGAATTTAGTTTTTACACTTTGTAATGGCATTTTTCTAACTTTATTAAAAGTATGTAATCTTTTGTCAAATTCAAAAAAAAAATTTATAAGCTTTTTAAAATTTCTAATTAAAACAACAGAATAAAATCAAGTAGAATAAGAATAAGTTACCAATCAAATAAAATCAGTATTTAAAAAAAATTATTTGTACCACAGAGGTGGCACAGAAGAACACAAAAGTAGTAGCTTTTACAAGTAGTAGTACAAGCTTGTAGGTGTATTTTCAGATGTTTAATGAAGCTCAGAGGTGGCATGAGTGGAATTAAATTAATAAATTCATGTTGAGGTTAATATTTTAAATATACAATTTTGAATATAGAAAAATTAAACAAATTAAATAACAGAAAATATCCTTTAAAAATTAAAGTAAAACTGCCAGTAGGTGGCGGCAAATCATTGAGCATCACTGAATCATTCATTCAATTGATTTGTTCAAACGACTAATTCATTCAGGAATGAAGCAAGTGACTGGCTTTATGAATGGGTAATTGATTCAGATTTGTTTAAAAACGCACGTTCATTCATAAACGAAACACTGCTGTGTTTGCATGGAAATACGTAGCGGCTCAGCTGTGACTTTGTTTGAAACTATTTTCGTTGATGAAATAGAGCAAAATCAGGCAATAGTGTTGTAGTCAGACAATGCAAGTCACTTAATATTAATTTCTTGTTTAATGAACTGTTGTATTAAATCAATATCACATTTGCAAACTCCCTTAAACATTAAAAGCTGTCACTCACTCATAGCAATTTCATAAAGTTCCATTATAATCGACAAAGCTCCCTACACTGCACAATGAATCTCTTATTTACACCTTGTTTGATTTATTTACACTTTGTTTGCAATAATGAGAGGATTCGTGAGATTGCAGAACTCAGCATTGAACAAAACTCAGGTGTTTGAGCAGTGAGTGGATTCTGATTAACATTGTGATCAAGGAATCAACAGATTTGTCAGTGATACATTACTCAACGCAGCAAAAACACGTTGTAAATAAGTTAGAAACCTTGGAAGCTCCCCTCTGAACCCTGGGGGACAGTAGGATGCATGCCTTCTGCTGACCAAAATATCAGTCAATCAAGCTTTTTGCTTGTCAGAAAGTGAAAAGAGTTTTGAAAAATTAATCTAAGAATGAGGGGAAAGGACAATATCTAGTATTGATTAAATCATCAGCTCATAAGATCATGAAACGTCATGCACTGCTAATATTACTAAATGGAAATTCAAAAATAATGACGGATTCATACATTCCCTGTCTTCCTTTGGTCAAACAGGCAGAGAATTCTGACCCAAACTCATGCTATAGTTTGAGCCAATGTTGCTATGTCAGACTGGTTATACAAGGAGCAATATTTTGAAACACTATGTTTTAAATGGGAATGAATCTACAAATGGCTTATTTATAGTTTTATAGTCTTTGCATATTAAGCTGGAATATAAGAATTTAACATGAAGTAATCTTTTTTTATATTTAAAGGGGTCATATGATGCGATTAAGTTTTCCTTTGTTTTTGGTGTTACAAGCTGATTGTGCATAGATAAGATCCCTGAAGTTGCAAAGACTAAAGTCTCAAAACCAAAGAGATATTCTTTATCAAAGTTAAGACTCTGCCACGCCCCCCTAAAACGGCTCGTTCTAACACGCCTCCACATATCTACGTCACTATGTGGAAATATTAGCATAATGCTGCCCAAATGTGCACGCAAAGAAAGAAGGCGTGGTTTCAGGAACAGCAGTGTTGATGCAGCCATGTCAGGGAGATGCTGTGTGTTTCAGTGCAAAAGCAAAATAACTTTATTTGGCCTTCCGGAAGTAGATGCATTTAGGAATCTTTAAGATTACTTACAACAGAACAGCAATGCATTTTATGGACGACCGTTTCGTGAACCTAGGAGAGGAGGTAATTCTGACTTTGCTATGACAATCTGGTGCTTCTGAATCAGCTACTGTTTTGTTATTAGCTATTAGGGATGGGCATTTTGGGAAATTTCTCATTTCGATCATCGATAGGTTTCAAAAACGATTAATCGAGTAATCGGGGGCGGGGCATGGCCGTAATGGATATAATGAAAAAATCTGAAGATTGTTATGAAAATGAATATTAAAAATAAAAATATGACATGACAACTTGTCTATGAAAACATGAACACATGCTTAGGACATGTTAGATTATGATTATGATGAAGCAATGTTATTCTATGACACATCCTATGATAAATCAGATAACTTAGATACATTGCAGACGTAACATTACAACTTGTATCTGCACAATAGGATGCTAAGTTATGCGCTAGACAGAGAAAGAGAGAGAGAGAGAGAGCGAGCTCCCGCCGTGATGCGTTTTCATGACAGCACGCTGAAAGATGGGCAAGGACAGAATTTACTATAGATTTCTATAAAGTTCTCATTATAAATGTATGGCAGATTTGTGCTATATTTTCATCTACGTTATTAAGTGTAATAGTTGTAATTAAGTTTTATTTTTAAGTTCAGTTTTAAGTTATAAGTTTATTAAGTTTTATTTTCCATAAATCGCCTGCGTGTTTTCGAAGCCATATGAATTGAATTATGCCCACAAATATGACAAAAAAAAGCACGGCTGCATTATTATAACATCAGTAATAATAATAATTAAAAAAAAAAAACAACATCTAAAAGCAATATAGACTACATTAGTGTCACTATTGTCTTTGACAGTCTGTCCTTCAGTGAAGAAGCAGTCTTTTCATATAGAGCATCTATTCTTGCTGTGACTTTTTTGCGTGACGGAATGTCATACTCGGCCTAAACGTCATGCATGAAATCTTTAAATCCTTCTCCATCGACGAAACTAATGGGCAGCAAATCTTTCACCACCATTTCAGCGATTAGCTGTGTCATCTTCTCGGTTCTGCCTGCGTTGCATTTTGGTCTAACGGCAAATGATGCAATGCTCGTCTGAGTTGCCGCTCTGTTATCGCCAGACATTTTATGTACAAATGTTAGATGATAGCGCATTGTACTTGTTGTAGATTTGTGTGACAGCATGGCGCTGCACAGCTTGCACTGAACTGTATTTTCATCGGTCTTCTCAAAGTGAAGCCAGACATCACTACGTGACTTTGAGGCCATGATTCTCTCTCTTCTTTTGATGCATCCTGTGGCAAGCTAACCAATCAGAGATCAGGGCCCGGGCTCTAGGCTTATTTTTCTTTTTAGGAGCGCTTGTGCTCCTAAAAAAAGTTTAATGTTTTAAAAAAAAATGTTGAATGTAGAAATATTAAATGATTTAAAGAACTGAAAAGATACTTTAAAATGAAACTAAATCCGCCAGCAGGTAGCGACAAGTCACTGCTTTGATCACTGAATCATTCATTCAATTGATTCATTCGAACAGCTGAAATATTCAATCTTCATGTGTGATAATATGTAGAATGCATTTGGTGAATCTCCTTGTTTGTCTTACAACACCTAATCAAAGCTGGACCAGGACTATTATATTTTACTATTTTATTTTTTTCAGAAATCTGTCAGAATTGACAACCTCATGCATTTCAAATGATAAACCGAGATGCAGAAAAGACAGACCAGCTGCTGGAGGAGGTTAATGTAGAAGATCAGGAGGGTGAGGGATTTGAGGAGGACCTCAGTGATGCTCTGGCCTACCATGGGGTTTCCTTGAAGACCTCAAAACCGCTGCAGATTGAGTCATAACCACAATTCAGCTGCTCCCTTTGTCCTGCCAGCTGCTACTTCCATCATGAGGCCAGCTAACTCAACCACCATGCCAGCTGCTTCTTCCTACAACCTGCCAGTTTTCTTAACCATCCTGCTATCTGCCTCATCCAATATCACATGTTGTCCAGCCTGCTGCCAGCAATGTTCACACTCAGAGGTCTGAGGAGCATTACGTATGTACATATTTCAGCAGCAGGTGATGATCATATTCAGACATCAGGATAAACTGACCACACAGATTTGGCCATCTATAAGGCTGGATAAATCTGAATCTGAGAGTATGTAGTGGTACACAGGTTATTCACCTTAATAACCGGTCTGTTAACAAATAAAACATATTACAATTTTTTTAGGCAATCAAATAAAATTATAAAGAATTGACATGCACATATCAAGGGGGGAGAACCAGAAGGGCGTAAGTGACATTTCACCAACTTTAGAGGAGGGCCAAAACAAAAATTGACCATAGTTTGATCTGATTTTGTGTACTGATTTCAATCTTTTATAATTAAAATATGTACACACATGGATAACAGTATACTTATTGAAGACTCTTTTGACATTTATTCAGATACAAATAATTCAAAAATAAATTTAATTAAAAAAAAAAGTCACTTACGCCTTTTTGGCACCAATGTTTTATTCAATTTCGTGTATAAAAGCATGGGCGTATCTGCTGACAATATGAACAAAACATTACATTATTGAGTTTAAAAGAAATAACAATCCATTGTGATCAAATAAAATATCACATAAAAAAGCCCTTACATCAAATTAGTTAATTGAATGTGATTCATTTTACTGAAATAGTAATCTCAGGCACTTAACAATTTGGTCAAATGGTTAATTGAAAAGCCTTTACAGATGCCTTCCCTGTAGTGAAAAATAAATAGGCTATACAAAAATCTATTTGAAATATGTTTATTTCATGCTATACTACAAATACATTTACATATTATTTACATATCACTAAACTGGTATACTTAAAGTTTGCAAAATTGAAACAACTAATTTTGTACTTAATGCACTTTAATTGTAAGAAAGTAGTGCTGAGGTCTAACTAAAGATATACTGAACTAGGCTATATTTTATTGTGCTAAAAGTGAAACTATTGCCAGTATACTTCAGGTTCAATTTAAATATCATTTAGCATTTAAAGACCGATATAGCAGTTTTATAGCATTTAAATATTATATATATTATTCGAAGATCATACAGTCTTCATCAATAGTGACATTAAAACACATTTTAGGCTTAATATTGAAAAATGTGCATTGTGCAAAAGTAGTACTCCAAATAAAGTTTAATTATAACTTTTATATCAGTAAGTATTGAGTGATATGTCAGTAAATAGACAATAAATAAA